GGATCAGGTGGAAGCGTATCAGCTCATTTGCTATGAAATTGCTTCTGAGGGGATATCCATAGATGAGACATTCATAACCCTCAGCCTCATCCAAAAGCTTCCTCCAAGCTATGCTGAATTCAAGAATTACCTGAAGCACAAAAAGAAGAAGATGGGACTTGAGGATCTCGTTCAGAGGCTTCAGATGGAAGCCAGAAACAGAAAGAGATTTATCTCGCCTCCATGTCTTATATAATCGTGTATTTCCTTAACTCCGTCCTTCTTATATCGTCTATGTCGATCCGGTTTTCCGGCTTCAACATCTTCTTCAGTCTTGTCTCCCTCTGGCTGAAACTGCTTCAAAGCTTTCTTAACATTAACAGCTTCATCCAGAAGCTCTTGAGCAGCCTTGAGATACTTCGAGTTGTGAAAGCCCGAAACAACTTGTGTTGCGTACTCATCGTTATTGCCTCTCGATGTCTCAATCTGCGAGCTGAGAGTTAGGGACAGCCCCTGTCCCGTGGTGGGACGCATCATCACCGTGAAGCAGGTCCTGTCATTGTCTTCTTGATCTCTCCAAGAACCAGAATCTTGAACCTCCAACACTTGTGAAGCTCCTCCACCGAAACTTGAAAGTACTTGAATCTCTTTTGTAGCTGAGACATTGTTAGCTTCTCCAGGAAAGGTGTCCGAGTAAGAAACCTCAGGATTCGTGTAGATCATTGCGTTTCCAGGGACAAACTCGGATGCATTTGGTCTCGAATAAATGTCACTTGAGCCACTACTTCTGTAATAAGTTGCCATAGTCTCTCCTTCTTCTTCTTATGATCAGATCAAACTCATCTGAAACAGGATTGATGTGTTGCAAGATTCAAACACAATCAACACTAAACTCTTGGCCAAAGACGACAGTAAACGAAAAAACTTTCCTTTTTCGGGTTGGGGGATTGTAGATGCTTTAAAGCCGGTTGGTGCTTGAACTTGCTTCTTTGATTTCTGTTCTTCTTAGTTTATTATTTGAGAAGATAAAGAAAGAAAAAATTTAAAATGTTTTAAACTACAAATATGTTTAGGAGCATCTGAGGTAAGATCTAAAACCCTCTCTTAAACCCTAATGTCTCTTTCTTTGGCATTTTCTTTTGTTTGTTGCATAAAATTGACTGGAGTAATAGCAACCATACAATCATATTCTTCTTTTTTTTATAATTTATAATTTATTTATTTTTGGACAATCTTTTTATCAGTTTATTATATGTTGAAAATACAAAGATATTCCTAAATGGTTACTGAAAGTAAAGATATTCCTATTCTTCAAAGATGATGTGTTCATCAAGCATAGATTTGGAGATGAGAAAAAAATTAATGGACATTTTCATATCTAATTTTGGTACAATACAAATTAAAAATCTTTCAAGTCCGATTTGCACTTTAACAGCACCTTTATTGGTAATTTTAGTGGATATCTCACTAAAAATCATAATAAGGGAAAAAAGAAGAAGAGAGAATGATATACTTTTCATTTCAAATTTGTGAATAACTCTCTAAAAACTCTAAACATACAAATCTTAATATAGTGGATAACTTCAAATTTAATTTTATAGTTTAATACATTAAAATATCAAGAGCAATTTAGCTAAAACACCAAAGAAGATAGCATAATTAGCAAAATACCAAAGAGAAAAAACTATATGTTTACGTGTTCAATTATGCAATGGTAAAAAGACATAAATACCCTGCCCGAATTACTTCTTGGTCACAGCTTCTGACAAAAGATCAAAAAAAAATTTGGTAAGATAATAAGACGATTTGGTGTACATTGCTTCTCTCTGACGCAAGATTTTTGGTAGATTTAGTCAGATACAGATTTCGTTTAGATTTGGAAAGATCTTAAAATGATTTGGGTTAGATTTGCTAAACTTATCTTTTTCTTTTCATTTAATCGTTTTCTCTGCATTTTTTTCCTATTAAATGTAAACAAAATGAAGATCATAAAATCTAAAGAAGATCATGAGTTAATCTGATTATTTCTCCATGAGTTCACGAAGCATTCTAATTCTTGAACTTCTTTGTCTTTCATCTTTTTACATTCTGGAGATTTCCCAGGTTACACATCTAGTTTAGCCGACTAACAAACATGTGTTACACATCTATTACATTTATTAACCAGATACTACAACTCTGTAGATGTAAACATTATAAAAATAATAAATTAAGAAATTATTTTACCGGCTAAACTGACTATATTTCCTGTCTAATATGTTGTCAAACTAGGTAAATGTTTTTATTCAAATTAAAAAATAGTTTTTCGAACACCTATGCGAACACAAAAATATGGCTCTGCAAATGAAAAAAATAGTTTAACCGGCTAACAAACATGTGTTGCACATCTATTAGATTTATTAACTAGTTACTAATACTTTGTTGATATATCCGGCTAACAAACATGTGTTATACATCTATTAGATTTATTAACCAGATACTAAAACTTTGTGGATGTAAACATAATAAAAATAATAAGTTAAGAAATTATGTTTCAGGCTAACTTGACCCTAAACCTTAACACAAATCCCTTACATTACAAGTGGACCTAAACCCTTAGTACTGATCCAATATCCCCGACAAATAAATATAGGTTGGTTTCAGTCACTAAGCCGGCTACGACTGCAAATTTCGTGGATAAACACTAGATTAGCCGGATACAGTTATAATTAAAGTCTTCTATAAAATTTTACTCATCTAACAAATGGTTGACTATAAACCTAACGAATAAACCCTAACCCAACAATCTAAACCCTAACCCAATAATCTAAACCCTAAACCCCATTCTAAACCCTAAACCCTAAAATCCTAAACCCTAAATCCTAAATATTAAACCCTATTTACTTCTTATATCAATTGTTACTCATCTAACAAATGATCAACTATAAACCAAACAAATAAACCCTGACCCAAACCTATAAAACTTAAACCCTTAACCATAACCCTAAACCTTAAATACTAAACCCTAAACACCAAGCTAAACCCTAAACGTCAATTTATTAAACCTAAACTCTACCATATCTCTTAACCCTAAACCCTTAACACAAATCTCTTACATTACAAGTGGTCCTAAACCATTAGTACTGATCCAGTATCCCCGACAAATAAATATAGGTTGGCTTCAGTCACTTGGCCGGCTACGATTGCAAATTTCGTGGATAAACACTAGATTAGCCGGATATGATTATAAACATATCGTATCTACGTCGAAACGTCTGACATATAAGATTTGGAATCCAAATACAAAAACGTCTAATCCAAATCTTTTGTGTCGACCATTTGTTAGATGAGTAAAAGCTTAGATTTGGTATCCAAACACAAAAACGTCTAATCCACACAAAAACAATGAACTATGAGTTGATATACAAAACTACTTTTATTTGAAATTAGTTAGTTTTTTTGTTCATTTATCCAAAACCACCGATAGAAAAGATATGATAATAACTTGCCTATTTCTCACTCCTCCAATTTCAGCTTCATAGTCTACCCTTCTTTTTTTTGGACAGGTGAGAGGGTAATAGGATAAGGGCAACATAGTAAAATTGTAATAGTGAACAGTAGACATTTCTTTCTCTTTGGTACTTTTCAAATATAGGTAAAGTGTTTTGGTAGGAGCGCAAATTTCTCAAATATCAATAATATACTGATGAAATGATGCACTAAAGATATTTTGGGTAGACTATTAATCTTTAATAAGATTAGGTGGGAATAATTTGATTAGACGTGTTAAAGTCTACACACGGATGCTCACTACTTTTTCAACTGGTAAGCTTTTACAGTTTCTTCTTCTTTGTCTTTAAAGTTAATTTCTCAACATTTTTTTTGTTCCTTTTCAAATATTATCCTGTGGTAATGATCCACACACATGCTAGTATGCTACTAACTAGTTGCATTTGCATAGAGCTATTTTTGTAAAAAACGAAAACAACGAAAACAACGAAAACACTTTTCCTCATTTTTTCTCATAAACAGTGAATAAGTGCCCTTCCCCTCCCCCCCCCCCACTCAGCTTTGTCTTTACGTTAATAGATCCAATATATTTACGGGTTAATACCATTTCTTTCCAAAATGTTTGTGCAACTTTTACTTTCCCCCTCGTGAGTGTAGGTCCATATCTTAACATGGTGGAGCGGTTTCTAGCTTAAATATTTAAGTAGCTGCAAAACATTGAGTAAAACTCCTCAATACAGTATAGAATGATGAAATATCTCGAACTAGATAGTTGTGGGGTCGCTAAGTGAAAAACTTGAATTGATGGATGGCCAAAGGAAAGGGAAAGATGTCTGAATTGGGCCAGAGATGGCAGGATGAGAGAGAGGGACTTGGTCAGATTCAGCCTCAGGGATAGGGAAGAGTGACACTTATATACATGACCAACCAACGTTGCTTTACAATAATGATCAGAACAAATAATGTAGACGATAGAGGGAAGAGAGAGAGAGAGAGAGAGAGAGAGAGAGACTCTCTCTCTCTCTCTCTCTCTCTCTCTCTCTCTCTCTCTCTCGGAGAGAGAGATAATATAATAAAAAAATGAAAAGGGAGTTTTGGCTGGGCAATAAGAGAATTGTGATTTTTTTTTCTTGAGAGAGGGATTTTAAGAGAATTGTGATGTTTTTTGACCAAAGAATTGTGTTGTTCTAAGAATATTTGCAGTGGTTAGATAATTCTCTTTAGGGGGTGTTATTGGTTATATAAGTTGAAATCAACTCTTTAGATTCAAAATAGGGTAGATTTTAAACTTTATTGATTAACTAGATTTTGACCCTCGCTTTCAAAGCGCGGGTGAGTTTTCCTTTTTAAATTTCTTTTAAAATTGGAAAATAATTGAGATGTAATATGTTCATAGTTTTTTTATTTTTTTTTAGCAAACATAAAATTAGCATCTTTATGTTTTTTTTTGAAAAAAATATCATCTTTATTTATAATTGTTTTTAAATAAATTATGATGTTTACAAAATTTGAAGTGATGATGTGATAGGATTAAAAGTTTTATATTCTATTCAATAAATATTTATGATGAGATTTTTTTTTGCTAAATATGTGTATAATCATGTTTGTTAATACAAACACAATATTTATAATGGGCCCGAATTGCACATAGAAATAAGAACTTGAAATACAGAAGATACTAATCCCGGCCTGAATGGCCCAAAGTAAAAACATCTGAACCGATGACAAATTGTGTGGTCGATGACCAATCACTTTTTAAAAAAAAAAAAAAAACAGAAAAGGAAAGAACAAAATTTTATGTCTCGATGTTTCTTTATCGAAAGACGATTTCCATGGCCAAACTTTAATCGAAGCTAGAGCACTCATGATACGAACGACCGCAGCTTACTTGTGGTGGTAAAGATGGAAACGACTGCTTGAAGAGGTGCAAATCGATGGCAGCAAATCAAAGAACTTCACATTTTCCAATCTATTTAGGTGATTTTCTCTATTTTTTTTTAGCAGATATAAAAATCTAAAAAGAAAATCTTACTTATTTTTTTTTTTAACTTGTTATGCATGTTGGATCTGAAGGCATCCGTGAAAAACACGATGAGTTTGAGATGGTTGAAGAGCTTCACCTTTTCAGGTCTCTTTGACAAATTCCTAAGAAGATTTGAAAGACCACAAAAAGGTAAATCTGATTTCGCATCTTTCTTTTTGATCCATAGTTAATAGTTAATAAAAATTGATTCAAAAAAAATCTGAATAACAAAAGCCAAATAACAGTGGCAAGAAAGCCTAAGATTCTTTTGACATTTTCTATTTACTGTTAA